TGTAAAATTATAGAATAAATGGAACGCTTTTACCATTGAGTATTAATTAGTATTAATTAATTAATTAGCATCAATTAGTATTAAGACAGTATTTCTACTGTCAACTGAAGACCAGGCTATTTATTCAGATATTTGACTGATAACTTGTAAATGTTGATGCTGAGAGTTACCCTTTTAACAAATGGTTTTTGATGGATTTTATTTTTAATTTATTCTGTTATGGTAGCTCTTGGTTTTATTTTATCTTTAACCTCATTTTTAAGCACTAATTAATCATATTACTTATTTGCAGACACACCAAAAAACCAAGATCACAGCAAAGTGGTGGACCTAAAGCCACTGAAAGATGCTGATTTTAATTTTGCTGCAAATATTCCTGTATCTCTTGCTTCCAAAGACACAAACCAAAGGTAAAGTAAATGTACACTTCTATCATTGAGATCTTTTATCGTTGCCAACCAGGCAGGTATGGTCGTTCAGATATTTTGGTATAAAACTCCCAGAGGTTGGCCAGTGGTACGGGATTATGGTAGCTGCAGCCCAAAAACATCTGGAGTGCCATAATTGTTTATTTCTGTTCTGCTTCCACAAATAGGGGAGCAGTACTTGTTGTGATCTGGGGGAGAGCTTTCTCAATTGCTAATGTGGACTTTGGAGATTCTTGCCATCTTGTTTCCCTCTGGGGTCCTCCCATTGATAATCAAAAATGTTTGGCCTGTTTGCCTGTTGAGTTTAGCTTTCCATCCTTAAAAATGTTAACAGGTTTTTTTTTATCAAGTACCTCTTCACTTTTACTGTTGATGTTCTCTTATTTTTCATGTTCAACTTGCATTTTATTGTTAATGTTAAATCATGGTAAGCCAGGGCGGACTTAAAGCCACATAAGAACAACTAAACAGGGTCAGAGTTATAAGCTGCATTTCTCTCAATAGTAAAATGGGGTAAGCTTTACTACCCACATTTTTTAACATTAGGTGTGAACAGTGAACTTGCTTTATGTTGTGTTTGATTAAATATCCCACCCAAAAAACTTGGAAGTATTGCTTCCCCCCCACCCCCCACCCCCCGTAGTTTTTCAAAGTTCTGTTCAAATGGTATCTAGTAATTGGATTTAAAAATATAACAATCTTGTGGCAGCTTAAAGACTTAAGTTTTATTTGGCATACTTGTTTGTGTCAAAGGCAATAGCTCTCTCTCTCTCTCTCTCACTCACTATATACACACACACACACACACACACACACAAAGTACACACATATGGACACACATGTGCACACAATCTAAGGTGGGAAGGGGTGGAAGTTAGAACAGTAATGCATAAGGATGATATCATAGGAATATAATATAATCATCGGGATGATCTTAACAATGGTCATTGTCATGGTTTTGGGCAGTGATCCTAGCATAGATAATACATTAACGCACAAATGTTGATTGTCACCATTAGACTCTGTGTTGTGTTTTTGGTGCAACAAACTAACATTGATACTGCTCCCTGAGAAATTTCTTCAGAAAAATATACTTGGGGTATCCAGCTACTTTTCATACATGGGTTGCTAGTTTGGCTTTGTGTTATTACCATGTATACATATACCGGTACAAATATCTCTTTATTCTACTAATGTTCAGGCACCCAAAGTTAGCTAAGAATACAGTGCCACAGCCTCCTAAGAAAGCCATGACAGCAACTGTGCGCAGGTGAGTGCTTCTGAGCAACATTTCTTACCTGGTTTCTTTTATTCTCTCCCTCATCAACTGCCCTTTAGAGCAAGATTCTTTATATGAATTTCTTTATATGAATTTCATTTAAGCCAAGTAATGAAATTACAGTCTTGCCTTGCAAAAGCCAATTATTATGCAAACATAGTTCTCTGTACTTAAGCAATAATTTCTGAATATAAAACAAACATTAAACTGCTGTACAACGTTTGGTTATGTGTGATTGAGTCTGCAGAGTTAATCGAGATTACATTCCTGCTGTGAGTGTACAGAACATAGTAACTTTGAGAGTTACAGCTAGGTAAATAGGTAACTTATGGTGGTGGCAGGATGCATTGTCAGCCCCCCAGCCTACCAAGGGCTGCACCTCATGCTTCCAGGTTGCCAAATTTGCTATGGTAGTGGTGCAAACTCCCATTTCCCCTTTAAAACAGTGTGCACAGGGAACATGTGCCCTGTTTTTAAGCTAATTTGCTCTTTAGGAGGTTGACTTAAAAGCAAAGTTCATGTTCCTTGTGCACTTTCTTAAAGGAAATAGCATGGAGGGGTCGTACTTTGCCCTTTCTTGCTGTACTTCAGTCAGCAGCAGCTTTTTATTCAAACAAGCTTTTAAAACAAAGTTTTTAAACAATGGGCTGAGGATGCTGCATTGTTTTAAACCGAACTATTTAAATTGCTTTTTATCTTTAATTCCATTCTACCTTTTTAAATGTAGGTTTAAATCATTTTAATATTGGGAATAGTTTAATTTCATTAGCTGTATTATTCTTTTTTAAATTGTAAGCCACCTTGAGTCTAAATGTGGGATTTTATTTATTTATTTATTTATTTATTTATTTATTTCTATCCTGCCTTTTCCCCAGTCTGGGACTTAATGTGGCCTATAACGATTAAAAACCATGTGTTAAAAATCCACAAAATACAAAAATTAAAATACAATTAAACAATCAGGAAAAAAATTAAACCCAGGTTAAAACAT